TGCCCTGTAATTTTATTAATATACACATTGAATTTCCTTAACTGCTTCTGCTATGTGTAAAATCTATAAGTCCTTTGAAAGTACCAGCTGATTTAATGCCCAACACCCTGGACAACCCCGAACAAAGAGTGATCCTTTTCAGGAAAATCTGGACAAGAATAAAGTTGATTATTGTATTTTAAGTATTCTAATGTATCTTTACATGTTTCTTAGCAATGGTAAAATAATCCAATTTTGAGAGTAATGGTTAGTTGTGGCAATTTTGGAGAAAAGATAAAAATGAAAAATATTGTCAGTATGGATTAGTACATAAAATTTCAAATGTAATTATGAGAAAAAAATGTGGTAGAGTTTCTAAACTGAATTGAAATTTATACTGTAATGTTTCAGCCACCATTATCATACAATCCTTCCGTACAACAAGGACCTGGTGCTGTATGGCATGTTCCGTATGATACTGAATTCAAGGTTCAACCAAAGCAAATGTTTGAACCTCCACGACATTGGCTATGCCTGAGAGAGGCTAGCCAGTGTTCATAATTAGTTTGTGTTCTAGTGGTGTTCAGAATTTTCAAGTTCTGACTTCGAGCCTAGTTAGCAGAATTATAGGTTATGTAATTCGATTTGAAGGATCTACAGTATTTTATGACTCAATACATCGAGTTTGTCTGTGGTAACTCTTGTACATATAGGACATGAGGTCCATGAATTAGAATGGAACTACAAGCCTTTAGTGTAATGGTTGTTTTAATAGAATGTACAAATTTTGCACAAATTGATGAAACCCAACATCTTTATAATTGTTTGAAAATTATAACTAGTTGTTGCAGATTTTTCTATTTTAAATGTTCTTTCAACATGTGCATGTTGCACGATCTTAGTACTGATTTGAATAATTGGGAGAAAGATGATGTAGTGACTGATTAATGATACATTTTTTACACTTGAATGTTTTTAAAAGATGAATAGTTTTGTAATTGGTTATTTGTATTGTTTCATACAAACATTTTGTTGATGTGTGAACAAAAAATGTTTTCAGAGAATGGCACATTTAGCATGTCTTCAGAACTATATACTGAATATTGCTAAAGTGAAATGAGATCATTGCTATATCAGTTCTATTTTTCATGTTTAAGATTGATTATCTTTGCCCCTTTTACAGTGTCCATTTTTTGTAGTAATTGGTTATAAATGTATTTGGTGTGCAATCTCTTTGTCAGGCAATGTTGTTGAGAAAACCTGACTGATTAAATTATAGAACAGTGAAACCTGTCTTAAGATGGAAACCTACCATCCCAGACAAAAAATTTTAGTACGGAATGATTTCATCTGAATAAATGACCTCTGGGAAGCTGGTAACCGGTTTAACACGGAATGGTTTATAAAGAACATATATAGATTATACCTAGCTAAGAAGGAAATTTATTTGTAAATTTCCTGCTCTATCTTTGGAATGGCATTATGCGAAGGGTGATGTCCAGAGAAAATACAGGGAACGACAAATAATTCCCCTTAGACCTGCTGTCGGGGAATCTTTGGTAAACACCTTGACTTTGGCGGTTTTGTTGCATCTTCCTCATGCTTTGGTGTGATTTCATCGCTGACTGAATCGCTGTTGTTCCGAATCCTTAATGTTGGTTGTCCATACCCTTGTTAATTCTTAAAAGCGGCCCCACATTTTCATCAGTCGATAATGGAATTTCAGGAATGCTGTCTTGTCTTCCCAATGTAGCAGTCATAGGGTTGAGGGGGTGTAGATCATACAATTTAGTGACCACTTGTAGTGGAGTGTAAAAATTTCTTTGAATCTTACATGCAAAACGCTTCTGCTACAGAAGAAAATGGGTATGACTGAAGATCACAAGAAGAAGTCATTCCGCAAAGGACCTTGTTACGAAATTCAAAGGGGATGAAACTCAAATTTGTGATATTTTATGAAATAAGAACCAAATTCAAAACGAATGATTAAAAAGACATTTATATAAAAAATACTGTATTTAAGTTTTAAGTTGAAATCTGCCAAGTTGGAAATTTTTTGAAGGAATCATGAGGTTCTTTCTTAGACAGGTTTTACTGTATTTGTATTTACTACGATTGAATTCAACTCTTTGGAAGTATGGATTTCCCTCTCAGTCATGTGGTAATGTTGTTGCCATCATCTTCCATGGTTTTACTATTCTTTCTTCCATCCCATGTTACTAAATGTTGTACATTAAGACAAATCAATTGTGGCAGAAATTCCATGGGACCTCTTCATGTATTAAAAGGCTAGTCCACTTCTTATATTATTGGAAGATACCATGTTTATCCACGTTACAGGAGAATCAAGCTTGTTTCATTTTAATTTTCTGGGAATACTAGAATCAAAGCGTGAGAAAGTGTACCATCAAATGAGTAAATAAACTGTATATCTTGTTTCTTTGTGTAATAAGTTTATTCTTTGCTTCTCCTGTTAAAAAGAAAAAAAGAAAAGATTTCTTGTATTTTAATATAGAGAAGGGATGGTCCTTTCTGTGTAGTTTTACTGTCCAGTTGTAGAAAATGCTTCAAACCTTTATATCAGTTGTATGAATTGAATGTACAAGTGGGTGTTTTCAACTTTTCAGATGGAACAGTCAAATAAGATTAAATTATAATATATTTTGTCTTCCTAAGGTGATTTATATTTGGTTGTTTCAAATGCATCTCAGTTAAGGGCCTGAGAACAAAATGCCAGGTACATACATTTGTGTAAAATGTCACTTTCCTGGTTTATGTTTTGTGTGTCTTATTAAAGAACTTGACTTAGCTATCTTTTTGGGCTTTGAGCGTGTATGTAGATATGGAGTAATCCTCTGTTAAATTTCATCGTTGTCTCATAATGGTGCAGTCAGTTGCCTTTTATCCCTTCGGTCAGGGGGAACCTTTAGTAACTGGGATTTCCAGACAGTCCACTGTCTGGGTCCATGTCCCTTCTGGGAACCTGTGGTGTCTTGAATTGCTTAACTTCCACGACTTTACGTAGTTGAGCAATTCGGTTAATAACACCATCATATTTTTACTTTCAGACAAGTGAGAGAATATGAGAGGTAGAATCTGTACTTTGATGTTCATTGTTTTTTACTTGAAAGACTGCATTTGATGTACATTGAATGTTTGTACGCTATTTTCTATGCATTTTCTTATAGAGAAGAATATTCATATCCGTTATACAAATTCAAATCTATAAGTATTAAATAAAGCTTGTTTATTTAAAGTATTTAGCCCACCATTGTTCAAGAAATGTTGGAACTTCAACTTTTGATTTATGAAAAGTCAAAACAAGAACCATTGAACTTTATTATCAGAAAACATACATTCATTTCAAACACATGAGAATATTAAAAATAATTCTATTAAAGAATCAAAATTTTTCATTTGAGTTAACACTTTTTTGAGAAGTATGGCTGCTATCAATTATTAATTATATATCACTTAATGAGATCACAAGGTGAAAGATTTCAGGAAAGCTGAAGCATGGGAATAAAATACTTTCCCTTGTAGAAAAAATTGTTTTTAAATGTTATTTTATAAATCTTGGGTATTTAGTTTAGTAAGAAATTTAAGCATAACTACTATTGAAAGTGCTGCCTTCAACCAAACAAAATTCAGACAGTTGTATGATGCTGAATTGCAAAGGTTTACATAACACTTTTCAAAGAAGACTATACGAACATCAGGTTCCTGCTTGAGTTTCTCCGCCAAGTCGAATTGTATCTTCACTACATTACCAGTGAAACGATAAACATATTCATCTCCTGTGACAATGAAGTTGCAAATGAGGTGCTGACAAAAGACAAATTATTGCTTCTATTGTTATTTTTTGTTCCATACTAGATTTAATTTTTGTCTTGTCAAGAAATTATTGTTGAAATTTACCAATATAGGTTCAAACACCATTAACCTACCGCTAATCATTAGAGAGAAAATTCACAACTTCTTTAATGTGGCACGGATAATGTAAGGTGAAAGCAGTGTAACTATATTTCTGTGTGTTCACAGTGTTCTCGGTTTTACTGGAACAACATTGAAATCCTGTAATTGCAATGTGCCGTCATGGTGGCCAAAGTCGATAGGGTATGAGTGCATTTCCGAGCTGGGTTCATAATGTTGCATGCTTGAGTCTAATGGTTCTTTATGTTGTGGGGTATGGGTCTGGCACAATGTATATGGCAGAGCCCAACCCAGGTGATCATTTTGGAAGGGGCTATCATAGATTTTTGTTAAATAATAAACATTTGTTATTATATTTTATAGTATTTTTGTAGTGTATATGGGATAATACACAATATTATTGTTTAGTGAATCACATATTCTAACAAATATTTAAATCAATTTTGTGAAATAAAAGACGGTAACAAGCGAAAACTAGGTATTTGGGGGGGGGGGGGCATGGACCCATGCCGTCCCCCCTCTGGATCTGCCATTGACGTATTGGCAGAAGGGGGCCTCGGGCCGTTCCCCTAGGGTCGGACTGGACTAGCGGGATAGAGGAGTGTCGAAAGGGTCCAACTGTACCGACTAGGGGTGAAAGGAAGTCGGCAGGGCCAGTTTGGGCCAGACTGAACAGACTATGAGTGAGAGGTCATCAGGGCCTGTTTGGACCCTGCCAACGTATGAGAAAACGTACTATCTGTGCACGTTTTCTAGAGTTCCAGAATCTCTTCTCAACATTTTAACTGTAAATAGTGGAAGAAAGTGTAAATAGTGGATGAAAGTTTCAAAAAAAGCGAGGTTAGCCACAATGGAAAACTAGATATTTTCGCTCCTGAGTTATAGAGAACGTATTTGCATCGGTAATGAACTGCAGATTTTGTTTGTTTGTATTGCTAATAAAATAGTAACACCAGGCCGCGGTGCAAAACTTTCACTTAATGAAGCTTCATTTGTGTAGCAGAAGCAAAACAAGGGACCATCTCAGCATTTGCTAAATGGATCAGGGAAACAGGATAAAACGATCGAGATGGGATCTCTAGTATGTTAAAACTCGATCACAGTTAATGTTCTCATAGCTTTCAGTTACAACACATGAAGTTTCCCCAATCATTAAAGTATTTTTTTGTAATTACATTACCCTGCAAGCAGGCGGCCTCTGCCCTTAAAGGGATTAAACCATGCTAATAATAATAACAACATTTAAGTAATTAAGAAGAAAATATGTGAGGACTTTCTTCCCCTGAGAAACCGCCACTGAGTTCAGGATACGACCATGCACTTTTGCCCAGGAGAAGAACCGTTTTCTCACGTGACAGCAATACCCGCCAGGTTGTGGCCACAAACGTTCCATCGTTCGTCCGGGCGGGACGATATACGGAATGGGAAAAACGGTCACTATCCTATCCACGTGTGGGACAAACTAGCTAAACTGACTGTCCGGGAGACGCCGCAACCGAGGCACAGATGCTAGTTTCCGGTCGTCATACTGCGTCCTTGGTCAGAGCAACAATCATTTCGCCCTGACGAAGGATGCAGTATGACGACCATTGTGTCCGTGCCTAAGACGCAGCGTCTCCCCAGCAGCCAAGTAGATATTTTAACTCCGGCCGCGGAAACCTGCGCAATCAAACTCCAACCTTTTCAACTAAATATTTTAAATATTTATGTGCAATATAAAATGTCCTTTTAGGAATTTTTTGGGACTCTCCACTAGCGGGGGCCGTAAACACTACCTTTAGAGTGATTAGGCATTAATCCACGCATGTCGTAACGCGCTAAATCGGATTTGTTTACTCCGGATGGCTTACCTGACCCTTTCTTGAACACTGCTTTAGCACAGCTGTTATTGACAGTTTGATTCGTGGATACCTGATGCGCGATGTATTGGTTGTACGGGTCACTGCATGCCTCATCCGAGTTAGAGACGCTGCCACAGGAAAAACACTTCCACGTTTCCACTTCGCGGCCCGGCGCACAATAAAAAAACAACAAAAAGAACGATACGATCAGACCTCATTTACCGTTAGACATTAAATTTTACAGAAAAGAACTTTTCAAAGTTACTCATATTTACTATTTATAGGCGACTCCGGTTATTGTGAACTTCTGGGGACCAACATTTTTAGTTCACTATATAATTGTTCACTGTATAAGATGTAAAACTTAAATGAATTTCTCCACAGTTATTAATTTTATTAATATAGAGACAGCAAAATACATTAACAGCACCAAACTGAAAATTTCAATATCTTTATTTTACCATAAAAAATCAATTATTTTTAATTATTTGCTTCGTACATCTTTCATTTGTAATTCCTCTAGATCCTTCTTGAATCCGTGCTCTCTCCTACTTGATTCTGCTTTGCCCACTGACTAAGTATTGTAATGCTGTCTTAACACCCTTCAATGTATCATCCACTGTTGGAACACCGCCCCACTTTCGAAGGTCCTTTTACTCGCCTTTCGACAGCGGCATGGCTCTAGCTCCCGATGAAACTGATCGCTGAATGAAACATTGCGGGTCCGCTATTATTCACGCAACTTTTCTTGAATGATGGGTTGAAGAAATGCGGATAGAGTGGGAATATTAGTTACGAAATCGACCATTAGATTACATGAAGCAAGCCAAACGTTGGTGAATCAGTCATTCAGCCTTCGCAACCATCTTAATAATTTGCGTTCTTTCTCAGGAGTTCGAGGTATCTCTTGTGATAAACTTGTACATGCGTCAGTCATTTCTTTAGATTTTTTGTAAAAAATAATGGATAAAGGTTCTCGCCTTCAAAAGAAAATTGTTTCTATTTCGTGCCAGTGAAGATGTGTTTGAAATGTAATCAGTGCTCGCTGCGAGCTTTTGCCTTCAACAGTTTATTGTGCCAGAGAGGAGGAAGCAAGGTCGTCGTTCAAGAAAAGTTGCGCGATTAATACCTCCATCTCAGGGGACACTTCGTCAATTATAATCTTTTTCCGACAATATGGTTTCCAAGTTGCCTAGTGTTGGAATTTCTGGCACTGAAGCGATTTTTTAGGAGGGAATTAATTTTCAAGACTTGTATTCTAAGTTCACTACAGCCGAGGTTCAGTGTTCACTATAACAGAATCTTCTTATGCTTAAGTAATGTAAATGAAATGGTACCAGTGACCTTGGTTCGTTGTAAACGAGAGTTCACTGTAACCGGAGTCGGCTGAACTACCATCCTGCTGCTAGAAATTAGGCTTCCGCGGCCAGTGCTATGTGAAGACTCTTGGCTGTCCGGGTAACGTCACGTCAAGGGCATTGATGTGGTTTTCTGCCGGTTCTTCAGCTCCCCGCCCTAAATAAGACCACATGGTTGATGGTTGAAACGTCGGCATCACTGCCCTCGACGCAGCGCCACCTGAACAGCCGAGAGCCTTCAGAAAATAAACACGTTCGATTGTTGGCAGGCCTGGTGGCGCAAGAGCTTGGGGCAGGTGCGACCTAGTATGCGGACATCAGGGTTGAGAGTTCGAAATCAAAAGCAGGGCTCGGATTCTGATATGTCATTTTTTCATTGGCCCACTCCGGTCGAAACTAAGTAGTAACGGAATGTTTGTAACGACACGTTGATGTTAAAAATGTATCGTTATTGGGTTCTTTTAGCCAGTTTTCAATTTTTAGATAATTTTTCTGGACCTTTGGGTCATTTTTACGCATTTTGTTCGGTTTGAGTGTTGTTAGTGAATGTTTCATGAATTTACATTGACACTAAAACAAAGTTTTTATTGTATCAGTTCATGATGAAATTATCTACTGCAGTGAACTCTGTTTTTCAAACTCTCAAACTTACACGGATCTTCGGTAACTTCCTCGGCTTTTTAAAACTGACGGTTGGGAGATAGGAGCTAAAGATTAGATTTCCTCATAAAATAAAGACTTTATATTACATACAATTTTATATAAATAAATTTTATTTAAAATTGTGAAATTCATAGAATAAATGTATTCTTACAAATTTTGTAGTATTTTGTAATAAATACGTAATTTTTCCTTGTTTTTAAGCCATTTTATAGGTAATTTTCATATTATTTTATAATTCCTCTTATATTAATTGGCGGCGATTGTGTAACGGTTAGCGTATCGGACTGTTATACCCAAGTTGGCGGGTTGAAACCCGATGGAAGCCGGGGATTTTTAAGGGCGAAAAAATCCTTCGGGGATGAAGTAAAGTCGGCTGGCCCATGTTAGTAGATTTACATGCATGTAAAAGATCCTCAAGCCTAAATAACGCCTCTGAGCTAAATTCAAATCGCCTGTTTCGTCGCTCAAGAAATACCTCCTTTCTCTGCTCATTCTCTGTCATTTTATAGATCATTTTCAAAGAACTTTAGGTCATCAGAAACCGAGCCTTGCTCATGAGGCATGGATGTTTTCAGTTGTGCGTTTGGAGCGTGTTACCTCTAAATCTTAATTGTTTCGAAATA